TATTACGGATAACTGCTATACCAGAAGGTATAGCCAGATCCCAAATGAGAGTACTAGAAGAGGTCAGAGGATGCAGAGATCAACTAGGGAGTTGGGATTACCTGGCCTCTTAGTTCAAAGTCCTTAATTCCCGTCACCTGTACCTTCAGTCTCTCTCTGTCTGTGTCTGTCTGTCTGTCTGTCTGTCTCTCTCTCTCTCTCTCACACACTCTCACACACACACACACACACACACACACACACACACACACAGAGGCATAGACACACCCTTGATCCCACCATTACTCTTAAGGGTTCCAGTTCCATTATGAAACATCCAGCAATTCTTCTCTTGGAGCACAAACAACCTCCTCTGGGTCTGTCTCTCATGCTCTCTAATCTTTCCATCCCTCCCTGTTCTCCTAAGATATCATCCCTACTTTGGCTTTACTTCCTTCCCTTCCTACACTCAACAGCACGTCTAACCAGTTCACCTCCTTGCACCATTCCCTATTCTTAAATCCCCTGCCTCCTTGTTCTAACCCCACTTATGTTTGGGCAAATCCCAGTCTTCATTACTTCCTCTATTTGCCTTCTCTGCTCTTTCTTACTTCCTGCTGAACTGTGTTGGACTCTGGGTCTGCTACTAATTTATTTGTTCTCCTATGCCTGGAGAACTCACCTCTTCAAATCCGCAAACTTCCTTCAAGGTGACACCTCCTACAAGAAGCCTTCCCTACTCCTCTCTAGTCACTGATGTGCTCTCACCCTACAAAATCAGCTTGTATATATTTTGTATTGACTTTATCTGTGCACGTATTATATTCTCTCTTCTCAATCCCCATCCCTGACCCAATAAACTCCTTAGGGGCAGGAACTGGTTAATTTTTGGCTTTTTATCCCCAGAACCTGTAACTGTGGGTGGCACATAGTAAGCACTTAATATTTGATTAATTGAATTGTAGCTAATTTATTCCATCCTTAAGGAAGGATCAGAATCAGTAAAGAGATTAGGAGGAAGAAGGAGATGCCCAGGTGAGGAGAACAGCACCAAGTTCAAGACAGTGGCTACAGAAGACAACTCTCATTTATGTAACACTTTATGGTTAACAAAGTGCTCTCACAGTGCCCATTGAGTTTAGGGGCTCCTATGCAAAGGGAGCTAAAGATGGGTTCTTAAAAGGTCAAGACACACATAGCTCCGTTAAGTGGAATCCATTGACTAAAGAATGAGAGGCGAGATTCCGTCTAGCCCTGGCAGTGAGCTGCAGACTGAGGACAAATTGAGAAGGGGCAGGGGTCAGCCAAACAAAGGAAAGAAAGGCGAAGATAAGGTCTGAGAGAAAAAAGGACTATAAATGTCCTCACTTTCCCCGGTGATTGCTATCTTCAGACACACACACACACACACACACACACACACACACACCATAGCCCTACAGTGACTAGCAGGTAATAATAAAAAAAAAAGCCCTTTAAAACATCTAACAAAAGTGCTCTCCCCACAACAACTCTATTACATAAGCAGTACAAATACTATTAGGCCCATTTTACAAACAAGGAAACCAAGAATAGAAGTTATGATTATAAGATTTGTCCATGGTTATGAAGCCAGTAAGTATCTGAGACAGAATTCAAAACCAGGTTTCATGGTGATATGTGCAGATGGTGAGCTGTCTAAACTGATCAGGGCAGAAGATCATATAGAGGAATGAATGAATGAATGAATGAATGAAGTACTTATTAAGTGCCTACTATGTGCCAGACACTATGATAGGTGCTCCTAATAAAATTTGACAGACAGTTCCTGCCCTCCAGAAGCTAACATTCTGGGGGGCGGAGACAACACATGAGGGAAATAGAAGGAGAGATAAGGGTCCCACTGTTCAGGCCTGGAATATGAGGCTAAGGACTTTGGAATTTATACTGCAGGCAATAAGGAATATTCTAGAACAATGGAGTATAGCATGACGAAAGTGTTGTTTTAGGAAGATTAATCTGTCCTTGGGATACTATCTTAATTGACTAGACAAGAAATAATGAAGGCTTAAAGTCGATAGAGCTGGTAAAGGGGGATGGATATGATCCTGTAGATGTAGAAAATAAGATTTAATCATAATAATTGCTCACATTTATATGGCATTTTAAAGTTTACAAAGCACTTTATACATAGTATTTCATTTTATCTTCATAACAATCCTGGGGGTAAGTGCTATTATTATTCCCATTCTCCAGTCAAAGAAACTGAGGCAGGCAGAGGTTAAGTAACTTGCCCAGAGTCACACCTCTAATAAGTGTCTGAGTTTGGATTTGAACTCAGGTCTTCCTCACTCCAGCTCCAGTGCTCTGTCTATATTGTGCTACTGGCTGCCTCATTGACTTGGCGAATGATTGGCTGGGGTTGGGGGCGGGGGGAGGAATGACCCAAACCTGTGTGACTGAGAGAAGCAGGGGAGCTATGGATGAAGATAGGGAAGTCCACAAGGAGGGTGGTGATGAACTTGGTTCTGAGCTGTTCCCGACCTTGAACAGGTAGGAGAAGTCAAAAAGCTGAAGATCGGCGATCCCTTGGACCGAGCCACTAATCACGGACCTCAGAATCACCAGGCCCACTTACAAAAGCTGATTGAATACTGCGAGAAAGGCGTGAAAGAAGGGGCCACCCTGGTCTATGGAGGAAAACAGATTCCCCGACCAGGTGAGTGTAATTCCAAGACAACCTTATACTGTTTGTCTGAAATGAGTTCAGTAAGGAAGCTGATTTGTGGCTCCATGCACAGCTGCCCGGGTGAAGGAGGTTGGAGCTGAAAGGGACTTCAGAACACAGAATGTTAGAATTAGAAGTTTGGCTCCCACCCATACCGGGGTGGAGGGGCGGGAGATGCAATTTTTCAGGGGTCACACAGTTAGTTACGAGAAGGGTTAGGGCTAGACCCCTGGCTTCCTGACTCTGGATCAAGCATCCTATCAATTACGCTAACTGCCTGCTACTTTAACGGCAGCTAGGTGGCGCCATGGACAAAGTGATGGACCTGGAGTCAAGAAGACGTGATTTCAAATTCAGCCTCAGATACTTACTAGATATATGGCCATGGGCAAGTCACTTAGCCTCTTTGCCTCAGTTTCCTCAACTGTACCATGGGGATAATAATAGCACCTACCTCCCAGGGCTTTCATGGGGTTCCAATGGGATATTATTTGTAAAGTGCTTAGCACAGTGCCTGGCACATAGTAGGTGCTTTAAAAATGTTTGTTCTCGGGGAAGCTAGGTGGTGCAGTGGAGAGAGCGCCGGCCCTGGATTCAGGAGGACCTGAGTTCAAATTTGGCCTCAGACACATAACACTTACTAGCTGTGTGACCCTGGGCAAGTCACTTAACCCCTTTGCCTAGCTTAAAAAAAAATGTTTGTTCTCCTCCTTCATTTTATAGATGAAGGAACTGAAATAGAAAGAGGGTAAATGACTTTCCCAAGACCACCAGCTACTAAATAGCAGACCCAGGTTTAGTTGAACCTTTGTCCCCTGAATCCAACATGTACCGTTTCTAGTATAAATACAGCCACGAAATCCCCTGGACGCTAGACCCTTCTTACAAGAAGGTAATGAGTCATGAGAGCAGTTCTCTCCTCTTTTTGTGCCTTACTCACAGTTGGTGCTTAATAAATGTTTTCTAAATGAATAAATGTTTCTACCACTTTTCTTTTCTCTCTCTAGGGTTTTTCTTTGAACCGACCGTATTTACCAATGTGGAAGATCACATGTTTGTGGCCCAGGAAGAGTCTTTTGGGCCCATCATGATCATCTCCAGGTTCCCTGATGGGTATGAGTCATTGTGGGGTTTTCTTTGAGTTTCCCAACATTTTTCCATTTTTATTTGGAGCTGGAGAGCGACCTCTCCTAATACATGGTATCGCTTTGAGAAAACTGCCATGGGGTGGGTAATAGAAGGTTCCTTCTCTAGTTCTCCCCCAGAGCATCTTTCCTCCACCCAAGGTAGGGTGGGCAAATCTTCATTGACATTTCAGGTCCTCAGTCTCATGTAACTAACATTAGGACTGAGTAGGACCAATATAGGATTGCAGCCAGGCAAGACTTTGGCAGGTTTTTCATGGAGGCCTTGATATCATTTTCGTGCAGGATTCCAACTTTCAGCTGGAAAGAGCCTTAGAAATGAACTTGTCCAACCCCCTTGTTTTACAGAGGAGGGAACTGAAGGTCATAGAAGGTTCTTATTCAAGATCACAAAGATAGAGTCAGGTCTTTGGACTCCAAATCCAGATTTCTTTCCATACCCCCTCTTTTCTTTTGGGTGGGAAGGAAATTCTCCATATCAGCCTTTTCCAATATTCCTTTCTCTTTAGAAATCATTCTCATTATATTCTCCTTCTCCATTCTCTTCCTTCCTCCTTCCTTCCTTCCTTCCTCCCTCCTTTCCTTCTTTCCTTCCTCTATTCCTTAATTTGGTTATTTGGTTAATTTGGAGGCAATAGTATTTGCCCTCATAGGACTGTTGAGAGAGTCAGAAGAAATAATGGGTATGAAAGTACTCTGCAGCCATCACGTGCTATAGGAATATAACATTTTCTTTTTTCATGTCTTCCCAGGGATATTGATGGTGTGCTACAACGAGCCAATGCCACAGAATTTGGACTGGCCTCAGGGGTCTTCACCCAGAATGTTAACAAAGCCTTGTACGTCAGTGATAAACTTCAGGCGGGCACCGTGTTCATCAATACCTACAACAAGACAGATGTGGCAGCCCCATTTGGAGGGTTCAAGCAGTCTGGATTTGGGAAGGACTTAGGTAATACCAAGATGCTCCATGTCTATTATAGCAGAAACAGCACTGATTTTGGAGTCCCTAGACACTTACCAGCTTTGTGTTCCTGGGTGGGTCACTTAACCTCTGTCTGCCTCAGTTTGCTCATCTGTAAAAATGCATGTACTACCTCAGGGCTGTTATGAGGGTAAGATGAGATAATATTTGTAAGGCCCTTTGCAAACTTTAAAGAACTTTGTATATTATTATTATTGTTATTATTATTATACTGGCTTTGTGACCCTGGGAAAGTCACTTAACTTCTTAGTGCTCTGGGCAACTTTCTCAGACTACAAGTTGCTAGTAAGAAGGTGCTAACCTGTATTTTTAGAGGGAATTTCCTCACCTGGGAGTTACAGCTACTAATGAAATCCCAGGTGTAGTCCCTATTCCTTTCTCAACCTCATAGTAGCTTTGTCAGGTAGGCAGAGCACATGAGACTCTGCTATCTATTTTACAGAAAAAGAAACCATAAGCCCACAGAGCTGGAACTACCTACATACACACACACACACACATATGAACACACACATGTGCGTGCACACACACACGCATGTGCACGCACACACACATACACACCAGCCAACCTTTCTTCTCTGCTTCCATATCCCACTAAGATGTTTTCAGAGGTCACCAACCCCCTAGCCAGGAAACAGTGTTCCAGTCTTACATAGCTCATGCCTGCTCCGAGAAAGGGAAACAGAGCTGTCTAACTCTCTGTTGAATGAATGTTCCTGTAGATACCCTGGCTGCATAATTCAGGCCATTATATCTTTTATCCTCAATGACCTCTGGTGTTTTGCTTGAATTATCTATATGATAATAACTATTGTTGTTGTTCAGTCGTTTTAGTTACGTCCAACTCTTTGTGACCCCATTTGGGGTTTTCTTGGCAGAGATACTGCAGCGGTTTTGCCATTCCTTTTCCAGCCCATTTTACAGATGAAGAAACTGAGGCAAACAGGGTCAAGTGACTTGCCCAGGGTCACACAGCTAGTAAATGTCCGAGGCAGGATTTGAACTCAGGAAGATGAGTCTTCCTGACTTTAGGCCTGGAGTTTTATCCACTGCACCACCTAGCTACCCTACAATAATATTAATAGATCCTATACATCACTTTTAGGTTTTCTAAATCCATTCTTCACAACAAGGTAGGGCATGAGGGTAGATAAGGAGGTATTATGGTGCCCATTTTGGAGATGAATAAACTGAGGCTCTGAGAGGTCAAATGACCAGTCCATAATCTTAAAGCTAGTAAATGTTAGACACAGGATTTGAACCCAGATCTCCTGATTCCAAGTTCAGCGTTCTTCCCACTCTCCCATGTTGCCTCAGACAAGAGGAGGCATAGGCAGTAAGGCAGGAGGACAGTGGGAAGACATCGCAGGGCTGCATGATATATGGTGAGAGAATGCTGGCCTTGAACCCCAGCTCGGACCTTTACTGGCTGTGTGACCTAAAGCGAGAGTTTCATTTCACTTGGGCCTCATTTTTGTCATCTATAAAATGGGATTAATATGTCCCAAGGTTATTGTTAGACAAGTACTCTTTAAACTGTAAATCATTTGGAAGTGTGAATTATCTTTGAAGAAAACCCAAACTGCCCATTTTCATAATTTTTCTGAGGGCCAGGCCCATAGACCTTAGTTCTCCAATGGTTATTCAATGAAGCAGAGAAAATTTCCCAGTAAAATTGCCACTTCTGGTGGGTTTTAGAGGTAAGGAGACAACAGCAGAGAATTTTGGAGCTAGAAGGGCTCTGGAGACCCTTTAGGTCAATCTCTTTATTCTGCAGGACAGGAAAATGAGGCCCAGAGAAGGAAAGAGACTGGCTTTGCCTTCCTCGAAGGGTCAACTCTGGCACCACCTCCTCAGTGAAGCCTTCCCTTATCTCTCTATCTCTTCCTCCCTCCCTCCTGTCTCCCTTCCTCTATCTCTCCTTCCCTCCTGCTCTCTCTCTCTCTCTCTCTCTCTCTCTCTCTCTCTCTCTCACACACACACACACACACACACACTCACACACTCATATCCCTTGGTTATGTACCTATTGTTACCCTGCCCTAGTACAATGTAATCAACTAACAAGCATTTATTAAGCATCCACATTGTCCTAGGCACTGGGTATACAAGCACAAAAAATGAAACCATGTCTACTCCCAAGGAACTTGCAATCTAATTGGGAAGACAACAAGGACACATCAAAGTATATACACATGAATACAAAATTAATGAATGCACACATATCTTAATTAAATACAAAGTAGTTTGGGGGGGGAGTGGAACATAAGCAGTTTGGGGCAGAGAATCAGGAAAGGCTTCATGAAGAAGATGGTACCTGAGCTGGATATTAAAGGAAGAGAAGGACTCCCTCTTCCTGACCTGGGATTAGGAAGACTTAAGTTTAAATGCAACCTCAGATAATTACTATCTATTTGACTCTGGCCGAGTCATTTCACATCTGACTGTCTCAGTTTCCTCATCTGTAAAATAGGGATAATAATAGCACCTCCCAGGGATGTTGTGAAGATAAAATGAGGTTATATTTGTAAAGTGAATTTTCAAACCTTAAAGCACCTTATAAATACTATTTTTCATGATCATGATGATGATGGTGATGTGAGGTGGAGGTAAGGAGGGATAGATGCATTCCTCCTTACATAAGGGATGGCTGGTATAAATGTGTGGAGAGGGGAAATGGAATCTCAGGAGTAAGGAATGGTGAGAAGACCAGCTTGACTGGATCAGAGGAGACAGGAGTACAATGAGGCTGGAAAAATAGGTAGGGGCCTAACTGTGTATGGCTTTAAAAGCTAAACAGATTTCAGGTATCGCCTGAGTGAGAGAAGAGAGAGCAAGAGAGCAAGAAAGGGGGAGAGACAGACAAAGACAGAAGGAGAAAGAGATAGAGAAGGGAGGGAGGAGGAGGGAGAGACAAAGAGATAGAGAGAGATGGGGGAAGGGAGGGAGGAGGAGAGAGAGAGGAAAGACAGGGGAGCGAGGGAGAGACAAAAAGAGAGATGGAGTGAAGGGAAGGAGGAGGAAGGAAAGAGAGAGTAGGGAGGGAAGGGGAGAGAGAGAGAGAGAGAGAGTTTGTATTATATTCAAGGGGCAATATGAAGCCACGCAAGGTGGTTGAGTAGCAGTCATATCTAAGTGCCTTAAAACCAGAGGCTGTCTCCTTTTTGCCTTTGTATATCCTGCGTCTAATAGGGTGCCTTATAAAAAATAAGCGCTCAAACATTTGCCCAGCTGAATTGGTCCAAAGTCACACAATCAGTTTGTGGCAGATTAGAACCTGCCACTTAGGAGGCAGTGTGGTAAATCGGGAAGAGTTCTACATGTGGACTCAGAGAGATGTGGGTTCACATCCTGGCTCTACCCCTTACTTTCTACGGGACTTTGGGTAAGGAAGGCACTATCTTTCTGGGCCTCGTTTTCCTGCCCCATACAATGACAGAGTTAAACTAGATGGCCTTTAAGGTTCCTTCAAGCTCTATATTTATCATCCCACGGACCCAGGCTGATTGATGTAAAGTCCTTATGAAGTGTGTCTGATTTGCGTGTGGTTTCTTGCAGGTGAGGCAGCCCTCAATGAATACTTGAAGATCAAAACGGTCACTTTTGAATACTGAAAAAGAAGCTCCAAGTGAGGAAAAAGAGCCAGGCCCAGCGTTAAGTGAACCCTACTGCCTTCCCCTGCTCTCCCATCCTTCCTAATATGAGTCCCCTGGAGGGGAAGACAAAGAAGAAGGGCTTTCAGTCACCTGCATAATATGAAGCCTACCCAACTTGGGCCCTCCCTTTCCGCTGAAGGAACACAACCCACCTTTCATGCAGAATTCTGTCCAAGTTCAGGGGACAAACCAGAAACTTGCTGAAAATTGGAGCACTACCTGGCCCTCTCTCTTGATTGGGATGGAGGGTTAAAAAGAGATTAGCATCTCTCTTCCTACCATTTCTGGGTGCCTCCCATGATAAAACAACATCCGGCCTTCAAAGAGATTGACCAACTAATAGTATCCATCACTAATGAATACTTGGATGAGAAGGTCAAATACATATTGAGTGTGTTCTTTCCACTGGTACCCCCATGGAGGCCGATTGCACCACAGAAGCAATCACACAGAATTTTAGTACCAAAATTGAAAGGGTTAGAGCTGGAAGAGCCCTTTAAATTTAAAATATGGGAGATAGAAGAGCCCTTAGAACATAGAAAATGAGAGATGGAAGAAACTCTAGAATATGGAATGCCAGAACTGGAAGAGGGACTATCTTTCTATATGACATAATTTCCATATTTAGCAACCCCACTCCTCCTCCTCTTCTTCTGGGTCTTCTCCAACCAATATCGAGCAGTGGTCTAATAATACTGTTTTCAGCACATACAATGTCAGAGCTGGAAGGGATCTTAGAACACAGAATACTAGATGACCTCTGTGTTAGAGACCTTAGAAATTACCCAGTCGACCTTCTTTTTCTATAGATGAGGTGATTGATAAAGTGAAGGGTCACACAGTGACCAGGTAGGTATTCCATTTGGAACTCGAACCCAGATCTTCTGATCCCATACTACCTCTTTTTATACCATGCCATGCTGCCCCCCCTAGAAATCCTTGCAAAAATCAATTAACCAAGAAGTCATTATTGAATATCTAGTACGTGCCTAACACCATTAGAAGCACTGAAGGGAATACAGGAGAAAGAGAAGACATGGACTCTGCCCTCAGGGAGCTTATAATCAAGATGGAAAGACAAGATTAACACTTAAGAAACAACTAGAGGGCATAAGACCACACATAGCCAAAATAGTAAGTTGTGTGGGTCAAAACGTAAGTGCTCCAGGTAACCAAGAGAAGAGGAGGGTAGACTGAAGGAGTCAATGAAGGCTTCATGGAAAGGCAGATCTTGCAAAAACCATCGTTCAACACAGGAGAATGACCACCTGAAATGAAAATGCAGTACTTTGGTGTCATCACCCATATCTACATGACCATCCCAAATCCAGAGGGCTAGGGACCCCATCTTTCCAGATTGGAGAATTTCTCTCTCTATCCCATTCCTCATCCTCTCATCCTTCTCTAAGAAGACTGTTCATATCTTATTCTCATATATATAGAACATTCAAGATATCTCCTTCTCTAACCCCTTTCATCTTCTGCTTTTTTGTTTGTCTCGGATTCTAGTTGCAGACCGTCATGGCTCTTACACCTCTTTTTTTAACTTTTCTGTAATCATACCCACTGATCTTAGCCCCTCTCATCTTATCCTAAAACAATCCTCTTCCATGTATGGAGGCCATGTTCCTAGGCTGGTCAAGATGAGATTCTGGTAGGCCTTTCCTGACTCCCCCGAGGCATTTTCACTTTTTCCATTCAATTTAATATAATTTCCATTCAACTCAACAAGTGTTTGTTTAAAAGTTCCTATGTGCTTTGGATTCAAAAACAAAAAACAAAATAATCCCTGCCTTCAAGGAGTTTATGTTCTACTTTCTTTCTGCCAATGTATATGTTACTTCTCATATGTCAAGGAGCCATGTTTTGACCAATGCAGGGACTCCCTTAATTGATGCAAATCACAGCTTCTCTATACCTTACCAGATGGTTTTTGTGAATTGCATTAATTCTAAAAAAATTGTTACCCAGCAACCAACCTTCTTATGAATGTCTCCAAATTGAACTAGACTGATCCTACGTAAGATGTATAATTCACCACTGGGTCCAAACTCAAAGCCTTTCAAGGTTGGTAGGCATTTTTTCCCATCCCAAAGTTCAACCCAAAAAATTCTTGGGCAAATTTATATCCTAGATGTCCAATCAAATAGGTAAAATAATAATAGAGTTCTGAATCCCCCACTATCATTAGAAACTTGCATAATCAAATGAAACAAATCAAGACAGGCTAGAATTAAGCCAAAAACCATGATCCATAATTCTAGATGAACTCATAGGAAGAAAGAAACAGGTGTGATTGGAAATACCCTACTTGATTTTTCCCATGAAACCATAGGTGTTTAGAGTTGAAAGGGACCCTGGACATCATCTAATTCAACCCCTTTCATTTTACAGAAGGGGAAACTGGGCAGTGATAGTGGAGTTGAAAGAGGACAGGATTGGGTATCAGAGGACCTGGTTCTTGGTTTTTTCACTTACTGCTTGTGCTACCTTGAGCAAGTCACTTAAGTTCTATGGGTCTCAATTTTATCATCTCTAAAATGAGAGATTAGATTAGCTGTCCTCTAACTTCCAACTCTAAAGCTATTATCCTATGACCCAAAGAGACTCATGAAATGGGAGAAGTCAAAGAGACTTTAAAGGATCATCTAATCCAACCTTCCTCTCCCATTTTTCAGAAAGAAAAGTGAGACGCATTGAAGGCAGTTGCTAAAGCCCAAGATAACTCAGCTGATAAGTGACAAAGCAGGGATTTAAATCCTGTTTCTTTGTATCCCCAAACATGGTTCTTTCAGTGTACATATATGTGTGTGTGCGCACACACACACACACACACTTAACAGGTAGGAACATAGTGAAAAATACAGATTATTCAGCACAGATGTTGACATTTCTTCCAACTTGTAAATTTAGAAATAAATCACCCTTATCAAAAATGAAAAAATGTTCTAAAATCGGGAGGGAGGGGGATAATGTAACTAGAATGGGAAAAGGAACTAGCTAGCCAACATTATCAAAAACAAAAACTGGGTCTTGGAAAAAGTGAACAAAACAATCTTTAAGCCAAACTAACCTTGATAAATACACAATCTCAGAAAATGGTAAGGCTAGAAGGACTCGTGTTGTTTTTCAGTTATGTCTGACTCTTTGTAATCCCATTTGGAGTTTTCTTGGCAAACATCGGAGTGGTTTGCCATTTCCTTTTCCAGCTCATTTTACAAATGAGGAAACTGAGACAAACAGGGTTAAGTGACGTGCCCAGGGTGACATAACTGGTAGGTGTTTGAGGCCAGATTTGAACTCAGGAAGATGAGTCTTTCTGATTCTTAAGCCCAATGCTCTGTGCACTACGGTGCCACCTAGCTGACCAGAAGGGCCCTTACTTTCAGGACCATAGGGTCCAAAATGAAAGCTGAAAAAGGCCTTAGAAGTTATCATATCCAATATCCTCATTTTACAATACAGGAAAATGAGGCCCAGAGAGGTTAAATCACTTTCCCAAAATCACACAGGTGGCACAACCATACTTTGAGCCAGGTTCTCTGACTCCAAATCTACTATTTCAACACCATTGTTATACAAATCAGGAAACTGAGGTCAAAAGAGATGAAGGAATCTATTCAATGTCACACAATGAATTAATGGCAGAATCAGGATATTTCTCAAATATATATGTAAAATATATGTAGATATATATATTAGAAATTATAAAGGCAATATCACAACAATAAAATATTTTCAATTTGCAAAATCACCATAGATATAAACATACACATATATGTATGTAATGTGTATATATTCAATGAAATGGGAAATGACAGTTTATTTATTTTAAAATTTTTGAATGCCAGAATCTCAGCTGAAAGGACCATTAAAAGTTCAACCTTATACAGGCAGATGATAATCCAGCCACTGCTAAAGCACTTTTCTGGATTCATGTGTCTGGTCCAAAGTTGACCAGTGAGCCATGAAATAGCTAAATGCCTCTCTAGGGTGTGAAGAAGTTAAAATAATCCCCCAAACAAAGCCCCAGGACCAAAGAACCATAGGAGAAAATGAGATCAATCCCAACAGGCCTGATCCTGTTCGTATTTTACAAGGTATTCCCATCCCCTAATACATTTTATGAAACACTTCTAACCCTGATCTTGATGTCAGGTAACATCAAAAATCAAAAAGAAAATGAAGGTTCACTAGATTCGCCATCTTTAAGAAATATGGTCATTAAAGTACTGAATGAAATTATTACAATTAAAGGGATAGGGGCTGGATCAAGGATATCACAGATAATAGGGGAACTCCTTGGATAGGGAAATTCCCTCTGCCATGAAAGTTAGCTTCTTCTCTTCTGCCTGGAGCAGAGGCCATGGCCTGCAGCTACCTAAAGTAAGTAAGGCTCCCAAGTAAGGCCTGAACCAGATTAAAATGTAATTGGGAAATATTTAATGAAATAAATAAAAATTACAACAGAACACAGATAATGTTAATGTGTGCCTTTCTAAGTCAAGATGAGGCAGGCAGGGGTCCTTATGTGTACTGTTGTTTTTATTTGAGTTGAACGACACTGGCGTAGATGGTTAAGTGCCTTACCCAGGATCACATAGCTGTCATGTTTCAGAGGTAGGGCTTGAGCCCAGGTCTTCCTGGCTTTGAGGCCACCTCCCTATCTACTACATCATATTAATGTCATATAGATATATTCAAACTGAAGACATCTACCTACACTGTCCATAGGCAAAGATTATTCAACATTTAAAAGACAGTCAATATAATTACTCACATATAGATAGCACTTTGAATGAGACAACATAGCAAAATTTGTGAGATGCAGCCAAAGTAGTACTTAGGGGGAAATTTATATCTCTAATTGTTGACATCAATAAAATAGAGAAATAGCAGATCAATGAATTGGGCATGCAACTAAAAAAAAATAGAAAAAGAACAAATTAAAAATCTCCAATTAAACACCAAATTGGAAATCCTGAAAATCAAAGAAGAGATCAATAAAACTGAAAGTAAAAGAACAACTATTAAACTAATGAATAAAACTAGAAGCTGCTTTTATGAAAAAAAAATAGATAGGCCATTGGTTAATGTGATTAAAAAAAAGGAAAGAAGAATGAAGTCTACAAAAGTTTTCATGTGCCTCAACTTAGCAGCTCCTTTGAAGGTAAATAATACAAGTACTATTATCCCCATTTCACAGATTAAAAAACAGGCATGGAGAGAATAAAAGGGGTTTGCCTAAGGTCACGTGCTTAGTGAATGGCAGATCTCATTCCAAATCCAGTGTTTCATATATAAGAAAAATAAGAATTAATATTAGCAAGAGAGGCTGGCATAATGGACTGAGAGCTGGCCATGGAATCAGAAAGAACTGGCTTTGTGGCCATGGACAAGTTATTTAACCTGTTGGTGCCAAGGGGGTAGGCTCTCTAAGACTTCAAGTTACAGAATCTGAGTTAATGGAGGGACTGTCCACACTGGGAACTTCCTACATTAGGAAACTCCAGTATGGACTTTCAGAAAAATAGACAGTCAATAATCTTGAGTTCTCACTACAGATTTTAGAAACTTATGACCATAAGTCTAAATCTGGAAGGGATCTCACAAGTCATGTAGTATGAGCCCCTTATTTTATAGGTGAGAAAACTGTGACCCAAAATGGTTGAATAGCTTGACCAAGGTCAAACAGATAGTAAGAGATAAAAACTAGGATTCAAACCCAGGTCTTCTGACTTCAAATACAGAACTCATTCTACTGCACCGTGATACTTTATGTGGAAATGTCCTCCAAAGGCGAAACCAGAGAGAATTGTTCTCTGCCCTCCCCCCCCCATTACTTAATTTAGCATTAGAAGAATTTGTCAGCTCCATCAAATAGGAAAACAGAACCATAGACAGAGCATTATAGAAGGGCCCAAAGCCCCAGTCTATGAAAAATGGTGAATTTTTCTAAATATAGGTATGGTCCATAGGGTCATGAAGAATCAGACATGATTTAATGACTGAACAACTAAATTTAGAACTAAATATGCTAAGCAGAGGGCCACGAGGCTACCTAAGGAAGGGTAAATTGGCCCAGGTCAGGAACAGAAAAAGGTCAAAATTTCTGTGCCAGTTAGCAGTGAGATTAGGCCTGTGAATGGATGCTACATTTCCAGGCTGAGAGAGCTAGAGAGAGAGAGAGGAGAAAGGAGAGAAAGAAGGAGAGGAGGAGAGAGGGAGGGAAAGAGAGCTCTAGATGCTGCCAAGGAGACTGAAAATGCCTAGAAGAGAACAAAATAAGCCAAATTATGCTGTAGCATAAGCCAAATAAGGAACATTTATCAAAGAATACTCCAAATTGATGAGGGCTAGTTCCAACTGGCCTCTAGGTGACATAGATGTGAAAACAATTATTATGCACTAATTAGAACTGTTTTTCTTATTCTATTTGCTCTTCATTTCATTGGTACTGGGAGAATTAAGTGTCGGGCTCCTTATCCTGGCATTCAAAGCCCACTGTGATCTAGTTCCAGCTGTTCTAGCCTTTCATGTGTATTCTTTCCAGTCGTGCCTGATCACTCCCTACTCCCTGATCTCAGCCTGCCCCTTCCCACCTTGCTGTGTTTGGGCACACCATTCCCCAAACATAGAATGGTCTCCTCTGATGTTTCTGCCTATTCAGATCCCTCTTGTCTCTCAAGGCCCAGATTGGGCGACTCCTACTAGGCAAAGCACCAAGATACAGTGGGGAAAAGTTCTGGCTCTTCTGTCAAAAGGATGTGAATTCAAATCCTCCCTCTGACATGTACTA